AAAATGATAGAGAGGTTGATGGGGAACTGTTTTTGGGACAAGGTGAGTTGGTGATGCATGTGATATATTTAATTATACACTGACTGATTCCATGTACCAATGAAGAAGACTTATTGGATGCTTCTTTGCAAGTTGAACTATGTGGTGGGCTCATGATTTGTATGTTGGATAGGTAGAAGACAAGTCAAAGGGTTTTATGAATTATCATAAAATAGCATTAGCTATAATTATTATATGCTTTTAATTTACTTCTAAGTGATATATTTTAGAATTTGTCAATAATTAGAATGTTTATTTTGGTTGATATGTTAATTTCTTGATATATTATGTTATAAAATGAGTTAAATTTTATATAGATTATAATGATTTTCAAAATTATTAGAATTTTATGATGAGTATAATGTATGAATAATTTTTTAATATTTATATTATATTAGTTTTTAAATAAGTTTAATATATTTAAAATCTTTTTTTTTTTCACAAAAAATTTAGTCAATGTATTTATGTTAAGGGTCTATTTGGAATGACTATAGCATTTTATAAAATTGATTGTGAAGTTGCAGTTGAGAAAATAACTTCACGTTCTCTGTTATAATTTTAGAAAATAGTCTTTCATAACAGAAATTTCAGTAAAATTGTGAAAACAAATAAAAAATAATACTCAAATGAACTATTTGTTCTCTGAGAAATAAATTAAAGCATAAAAAACCGTCTTAAATAGGAAAAGTTATTACGTCCAGCCAAAAAATTGAAAATCCGGACAAACATCAAGCGATACCGAGCACGGTACCGAGCGTCCAAGTGATGTGGCGCTTTGTTATTGGTCTCTGGACGCGTTCGGTGTCCGGACACAATAATTACTCCTTAAATAGACCCTAAAGCTTCATTTGAAATAACTTTTTGATTGCTTTCACATAGAGAAATACAGTTAGTAAAAAATAAAGCGTATTTGAAAGACAATTTTTATTGTTTTCTCAAAATTTTGCCTTCAAAAAGCTGTTTTTGAAAGAAAAAATATATATTTTTTTGAAACCATGACTTTTAGAAAGAAGCTTTAAAAGTAAAAATAGAAAAATTTAAATAAACCCTAAATTAACATCATAAATACACTGCGTATAATGAGCCTCTTTTAATCAATTTTTGAACCAAAAAGGTCATCAAATCCCATTCACGTGCAACACTAACCACTAAGAAATTTTTTGGCCAAGCATTAAGTCATTGCCTAAACATATTTAATTTTAAAAAAGAAGATTTTAGGCCATATTAATACTCTTATAACCTCCCAACCATACATGAAAGCAATTAATTGGCGGTTGTCAGTGGGAGTGGGATTGTTCTCGTAACGAGAAATTAGTATGTGCAAAAATCGGACATAGAACGCTATCTGAACACTAACCAGAATACTCCACATCAGTGGTATCAAGCCGTTGTACCAAGCACAGGGTGACGTGGGGCATTTTGGTTGGTCTCCGGATGGCATTCGGCGTCCACACAGAATAATTAATCTCTCATAACACCCGTTCAAGCAAAGTTTCACTCCTTAAGAAATGACCGGGTTAAAAAAATAAATTAAAATCTACATGATTGTTTTAGATGACTATTAAATTTATGTTAATTTTTTTGTATATTTAAGTTTTAATCATAGTTTTATTTATGAAACAATTAGAATATAAAATTATTGGGCTTAACCTTGTATTTTAGCTTGGTGAGCTAATCCAATATCATTAAATCTTGGCCATTTACTTCAAGTTATATGAGCTTGACTTGAGCTCAAGCTCGAGTTTGATCATGCCATTAGTTTGGGTTAGCCGAGCTTGAAATCGATAACTTTCAAGTTTGTGAGAAGTCTTCTTATAAAATTCTTCTCATAACAAACAATCTCACTAAATCATTTAGCAAAATACTACTCTTTATGATGAAAGTTATCACTGTTGAGGCTCTTGGACACTGATAATCAAGCCTAAGTATTCCCCTCCCCCATTCCCAAATTACCACATAAAATTAAAATATATGGCATCCTCTCTCCCCAATGCTAATAATCTTTTAGGGGTGCAGTGAAATCAGAGAGCTAGCTTTGAAAAAATTCCTCCATTATTGTTGAAGCTTTTCATATAAATTTAGGCTTATTTACCTTTTTAAAATGCAAGTCCTAATGACAATATTTAATGTTCTTAATCCAATAATTAACCTCAGTTTGACAATGTTATTAAATTTGAATCCATAGTTATTAAGTACTATAATAATGTATCTTACACAACTCTACAAGAATTATCAGAGCCTATCTCACCTCATGGTAGAGGTGTCAATTCGGACCAATGGGTCGGATTCGGGTCCAACCCGAGTTGACCTGAAAATGGGTTGACCTGAAAATGACCCAGTTTTACAAATGGGTCAAGATTTTTAACACAAACCCGACCCAAGTTGACCCGACCCGACCCATGAATCCAGAACAGGTTTTAGGTTGTGTGACTTGCATCTAGGTCCAGTCAGCGATTTGCGGTTACATCGCGTCTAGCACGGGCCTGTAGGATGAGTCTAGCTGTAGCTGTCGAGGTTGAGTCAAGTGCGAGTGCTGTCTAGCCCATCCGACGGTTCGAGCTACGGAGGTAGCCGTCGAGCATCAGGGCCGTCCTAGTAGTCGAGGTCGAGTTGAGGGGAGGCAGCAACGCGGCGAGTGTTATGCTTACAGGTTGGTCCGGTTGAAGTGTTAGAGAAGGGTTGAGGTGAGCGGGTCAAACCTAGGTTGTCGGGTTGGCCCGAACCCGACCCGAACTATAAATAGGTTCAAAAATAGGACCCAAATCCTACCCGTTTCTTTATCAGGTCAATCCGAATCCGATTTTTTCATGTCGGGTTCAGATCAAATTTTCGAGTCGTATCAAATATTGACACCCCTGCATCATGGGCATATTAGAGCCTACCTTACTCTACCTTAACTCCATCATTAATTTTGTATACAAAAGACAACTAGCTTGGTATTGACTTGGAGTGTGGGGTATGCTGGCCAGCCTGGCCTTAGCCATTGCATGGATGATGGCTATATATCCTAAAGTATATCAAGAACCAAACAGCAATAATGGCAACCAGATTTCATCCTACACCAAACTTTACAGCTACTTGGTTGAGATGTTAATGGCATGATTCCCTCATGCACCATAATGTTGGTATGCCTTCGTTATGCACAAACCTTCTATTTAAGTGGAAGATTTTTTTTACATACCACTTAATACTATTCTATTTACATATTTAACATCTAAAACTTTAATATTACATAAATACCACCCATAGTTCATTTTCATATCAAATATGAGTGGTAAAAATGAAATATATGAGTGATATGAAAGAAATATAAGTGGTATATTTGATATTAGAATAATATAGGGTGGTATGCATGTAATATTAAAGTTTTAGGTGTTAGATATGTAAATAGGATGTTATAAAGTGGTATGTATGTAAATTTCCCTATTTTTTATTTGGTGGAAATAGTGGAAGATATTTTAAATGTGGTGTGTCCACGGCCTAAAATGCTGCAACTATTCAAAATAGAAGAAATTATTCTATGTGGATACCGGAAGGTTCGGATGCCAATCATAATACATCATGTTACTCAGTACCCAGCGGTACTCAACACCATTACTGAGGAAAAAAGTGACATGACACATTCTGGTTGGTCTCCGGACGCCGTCCGAGATCCGCATAGGATAATTTATGCCAAAATAGATCCTCAAATTTGATGTAAAATAGGTCTCTCGAGGTAACATGAACAATAAATTTTAAAAAAAATCATCATTTAGAGCAACCAAATGAGGGCATGGAGTACTCTTTAATATGTTACTTTGATTACATGTTTTACATAGTGAAGGAACTCAAAATTACTTCAGATTGAGCTTTTCTCTAGCTTATATTCAATTCTGGCCTTGCTGTGTAAAGTCACCTTCCTTAGAATGGAGGAATTCAAAGTTGCTGCGTTTGACTTTTAAGTTGTAATATGGTCCCTACAGGCTGAGATGACTTTTGCTTTCTCTCTTCCTCTTCTCCATCTCTTTCTATTTCACTCTTATGGGCTGTTTGGTAGCATGATTTATGACAGATTTGAGACGGATTTGAGCGAAATCAAGCTAAACGGCCTAAAATGCAAAATCCAATCTCACGGCAAATGAAAGCCGCCGTAGACGGAAAATTCCGCCTTTTCGAGCTAAATCCCAGATTTACGAAATCGTTGGCTTGAGAGGAAGAGTCCGCTTGTTAAATCCGTTCTATAGCCAAACAGTCACACATGATTTAATAGAATTTATCATGAATGTTACCAAACCGGTTTCAGGATTTAGGCCCCTCGGCATTTCCAAAATCCGAATTTAGCGGATTTACAAAACCCTACTTAAATCAAATCTCGAGTGCTACCAAACAGCCCCTTAGTCCCGATACATCAATTTTTTTAGAGTTCTAGGTTCAGCTGCATATCATTTTAATTTGAATTTACAGTTTCAATAATTTATAATATACACTTACATTTTATGTTCCTAAAAGAAAAAGCTCACAATAAAAATAAGAAAAGGATTTTTTTAAAGGAATTGCTTACTGTTTTTCTATCCTCAACGGTCGAATTATCCCTGCAGTTAAAAATATTGCTCAGCTCAACAGACATATCTAATCTCAACCTCAACAGGAAGCTTAAGAGAAAAGAAAAACAAAAAAACTCAACAGAAAGCTAAAACTCTTAATTGAAATTTTATTTCAGACAGCTTTCTTATTACTTTTTAAAGTAGTTTTTTAGTACAAATTTTTTTATCTATAAATTTTTGTACTTAATAAACTGTTTTAGAAAGTAATAAGAAAGTTATCCTAAACGAAACCTTAATCAGAAAAGAGAAAGCTAGCCACCATAAGCATCTCCACAGCCATGATTATCCTTCTACTGTTCTACCATTTATGGCTTTTAGATGAACTAAAGGAAATCTAGCTCGAACTTATTCAAGAAATCAACAAGAAAAGGAGTGTTATTTTGAATTGTATTCAGAGTTGCAAGCATGCATGAAATAGCTAAGCTCTCCTAAAAAAATTTAGAACTGTAATTCTATTCTGTATACGGCTGTAGAAATAATTATAGTTCTGAGTATAATTACACTAATAGAGATTAAGAAAAGGGTTGGGATCCCTTCAATAGATCCAGGGAGAATTTCCTCATCTGCAAGGATCCTTCTCCCTTCCTCTTTATATATCTTTCCAACATATGAAACAAGCAAATAAAGAAAATTAGCTTATCCTCAGCTCTCCTTCACTTCATCTCCAAGCTTCTGTAATCAAGCAGAAAGCTGCTTCCTAGCCTAAGAAACTCACCTCCGCAGTTACTCTCCTCTATCAGCAAATCCTGCTGCATCTGCTCCTCTAATGGAGGGCTGATGCAGAGATCAAGATTCAGATCAGGACAACGCGGCAGCAAAGCAGATATTCTGTCAACTCTCTTATCCTTCACAGAACTGCCACTACTGAAAGACATGGTGAGATTTGAAGCCGAGGCGGTGGAAACAGGACGATGTGTCGCGGGATCTATTCCCCTGTTGAGGAGCTTCCTTCGTATATGAGTGTTCCAGTAGTTCTTGATCTCATTGTCCGTTCTTCCTGGTAGTCTTCCAGCAATCAAAGACCATCTGCTCATGCAAATTTTCATGATAAATAAGTAATTTTGTTCAACGAAAAATAAACCCTAAATTGCAGGGGAGAGATCGGATTGATATTGGTACTTGTTGCCAAGGAGGCTATGAAGTTTGATGATGAGCTCATCCTCATCGTCGGTGAAGTTCCCCCGCTTGAGGTCAGGGCGGAGATAGTTGATCCAACGAAGACGACAGCTTTTGCCACAGCGAAGAAGGCCGGCGGCCTTGGGGAGAGAACGCCAACATCCTTCGCCGTGAGTACGGATGTGAGCGATGAGCCTCTCATCCTCCTCTTTAGTCCAGGCCCCTTTGTTGGTGTGAGCTTTCTCACAGCAAGGAGACCTCCCCATCTCTCTCCCTGTCTGTGATTTCTCTCCTCGAAGGCTCGTTTGGGGAGGAAGGGGAAGAGGTCGCTCAATTTATAGAAGTTTGACTGGAGATGCAATGGGAGTTTGGGTTGTATGGGGTGAGTGTGTGGGTGCTCTCTTTCTCTCATGGGGAAATTATTAGGTTCGGATAAGGGTGTCAATTTTTGACACGATTCGATTCTGATCCGAAAAATTTTGGGTTAGAGTCAACTCGGGTTCGAAACGGGTCGGGTTCGGGTTCAACAAATCAATCCGTTTTAAAAATCATGTCGGGTTCGGGTTGACCCAGCAACTCAAAATTGACACGAAAACTCCTATTTGACCCTAAACCCGAGATTGACCCGTTTTTTACCCGATTTTGACCCAAAAATCAAAGATTGACCCTATTTTTTACCCAAAAATTAACAATTTTAGGTCAACTTCGGGCCATTCATGTCGGGTAGGGTTCGGTTGACCCGAATAGTGCCAAGTCAGTTACAGGTTCTACCCGAACCCGACACGTTGATCCAAATTGACACCCCTAGGTTCGGACACCGGATGATGTCCGCAGCCCAATGAAAATGCGCCACATCACCTTCTACTAGGTACTGAGCTCTATATGAGCTACAGTACCGAGCAATATTGAACTTGGTACTATGAAGTACCGAACACAGTACTTCACAGTACCGAGTTTAGTATTACTCGATATTGTGAAATACCGAACGATAACCTGTGTCCGTTGTCCTAACTCAATAATCTCTCCTCTCTTTAGAAGATAGGAAGGTTGGTAGGTAAAAGTTTAAAAGGATGGTGGAAGGCAGAACTTCATCATATCTTCCTTTCTTTCATGTGTGGCGGAAGTGACATCAGCAGCAGCTATTGGCAGTTAAAAAGGAAGGAGACAGGGCCAGGGGGGGCCACATAGGAGGAGCTTGAAACATTAGGTAGGTATAAAGTGAGGCGGTGGAGGATGGTGGTTACATTTTTTTTAAGATAATTCTTATTTATATTTAATGGAAGAATTTAAAAAAAAAAGCATGAAATAAATTATTATAGTTTTATTTGTAAAAAATTAAAATTTCTTTAGGGGGATAATATAAAATTAAAATTTTTGTGCTAAAAATTTACTTTAAAAAATAGTAAGAAAATCATCACAAAACAAAGCCTAAAGGAATAAATTTTGCATCCCAATTTAGAAATCAAATCTAAGTTATTTATTATAAGAAATTTCTCTTATGAGAAAGTGAGGAATCATTAAGGCTTCGTTTGAAATGGTTCTCTTGATGCTTATTAAAGCAGTTTTTTATTATAAAAATTTAAATTTTTATACTAAAAAGCTGCTTTAAGAAGTAATGAGAAAGTCGTCCCAAATAAAATCTTAATCATCATTTATTTTACTTTTTGCATTTATGCTTATTGATTTTTTATTATTGAGATTACTATGTTTTTTATTTATTTATTTATTTATTTTTTTTTGAGAAATTTATTATGATATTTTGGACCATTGAGTATTATGGGAATTATATTGAATGGAAGAGCTATGTATTTTTTGATGTTGTTCACATCAATCATATGAGTCAGGGATTTGTTATTGTTGCATAACAGTATTGAATAGAAGCCTAAAAAGGTGAGGTTGAGCTGAAGAGAGAGGTTTGCCCAAGCTAAGTTTTGTAGTTAGGTGGTGCTTACTGTGCAACGGATGTAGACAAGTATATGACTAATGTGCTCGGATAAGATTTAGGTTTCGTTTGAGACAGTTTTCGTATTGTTTTCTAAAATAATTTTTTAATATTTTAAAAAACAATAAAAAAGCTGTCCCAAATGAAATTAAGGGCAGTTTTCCTAAGACTTTGTTTGAGATGACTTTCTTATTGTCTTTTAAGACGGCTTTTTAGTTAAAAACTAAAAGTTTTGTACTAAAAAGATTCTTTAAAAAACATAAAAAAAGCCGTCCTAGTTTGGGACAACTTTCTTACTGTTTTTTAAAATAAGTTTTTAGTACCAAAAGTTTAAATTTATTTTAAAAATAATAAGAAAGTTGTTCCAAACAAAATCTTATTTTTTTCTACAATCACAGGGAGATAGAATAATCTACTAAGTTTTAAAATTGATGCTTAAAAATTTACATACCTTAGATAAAAAGTTGCATATTATAAGGATAACACATTGGAAAGAAAATTTGGTAATTTATTATGAAAGATAAGAGTTTTGGCGTGAAGAAGAAGACGTTGTTATTGACTTATTGCTATTACCCTCTTCTCTTCTCCACTACAGTACTTTAAATGAGAATTTAGTCTACTAAAACTGAAAACTTATCAGTTTGAAGTGGAAGTTTTCTCTCATGGAAGCACCTGAAAAAACTCATGATTTTGCTGATCTCTTGGTTTACAGATCCACACCATAATTCCTACATGTTAATTATCTGGAAAGAGAGCATCAAGAAGCTCATGATCATCACTTCTGTTCACCACTTTCCACCACCATAGCAGATCCTTCTCCTACTTCAATGGCAGGCCAGTAGATCTTTCTGTAGCCTGTAATACCTTCTTCATCTTCTTCAGCAGCAAGGAGTATACTTTCTTCTTTCTTTTTTCTTCTCCATCTCTAATAGTCATGCATGCTCGTCATCTCTACAGCAAAATCTTCGGCTATCAGCTTTCCCCATGGCATCTAAGATCATCCAAAGGACAACTTGATTGAATCAGCTAGTTCTATTTAGGCCAACTAATCCAAGTACAGCCCAAACCAGTCCATCGTCACCATCTGCTTCATCGAAGATCAGGTTGAGCTGGCCCTCATGCTCTCAAAATTTGACAAAATAATTTAATTAAAAATAATAAACTCATAATACCTCTAATTTTACGTGAAAAGGTTGAAATAACTCCAATTGTAGATAAGATTAGAGAGTCGTCTTAGATGATTTGGTCACATAAAACTTCTTCCTTTCGATGGAGAAATTATTAGGTGCGGAGTGCGGAGTGCATTCGGAGATCAATAAAAATGAGCCATGTCACCTCATTGGTGGGTACCCAGCTCGGTACCCGCACTCGGTATCGCTAGGTACCCAGTGCTTGTGCAAATGATTTTCCCGTCCGCACTCCGCACCTAATAATTGCTCCTTTCGATGACCCAGTTAGGAAAATAGAGGTATTAGATTTGAAGTATTTTAAGAAAGGTAGAAGTAGACCTAAAAAGATTTGGTTAGAAAATATTAGAAATAATCTTACGAGAATTTGACTTTTAACAGAACGCAATGGAGAAAAAAATTCATGTAACTGATCCCATGCAATGAGATAAAGATTTAATGTTGTTGTTCTTATAATATCATGAGAAGCTTATTATTTACTTTTCTAATTGAACTTAATTAGCCTCTAATTACTATTCATGTACTATTAAAAATGAATTAAGTAAGATTATTGTCTTATCAACATTAAAATAGGGAAAAGATTGGAGAAGGTATAGCCGGTTTGGTTTTCAAGAAGAAGTGGTGACAAAGTCCATCAAAGGACCCATTTGACCTAAACTTCACATGGCTCTATCTCCACTTGTGAGGCAGTGGTCAAATCATGGCAGAAGAGTTTGGTCAGTGATCTTTGCCAAACACTGAACCGGTTTTTTTTGGCAAAAAATATCTGAACCGAACCCATTATGGCCTTAAATTTGATAATGACCTTTGCATGGTTTGTGGTATGATTTGTTGGATTCCTTATGGTTCACTTTCAATTTCATGCCTAAGCCTAAGCCTAAGCAACCACCTTTGGAAAAAGCTCTCATACCTACACCACTATTCATTTCATGATCTTTAAGGTTTGGTCTAAATAATAATTTATTTTATTTGAGAATTTTTTAAAAGAGAAAATAGAGGGAATGAAACTAGATGTGAACTAATAATTCTTGTTGGAGTATAATTTGGATGGTTTAATTATTAATTTATAGTTTGATGTTTATTACTTTTAGGAAATTTGTTGGCATTAATGAGATTTTATGAAATTATATCAAATTGGTTTAAGTTTGTACATTATCGTTCGCATATATAAGTTTAAATTATCTAGCATGTACAACATACCATTTATTAGAAGTGTAGACTTTTTTATCTATAGACGTTTCTGCATGATTGGTAAGGTTTCTCATATATTTACATGTATTTTGATATGTTGCAGTAGGGGTGTCAATTCGGGTCAACAGGTCGGGTTCGGGTCGAACTCGGAACTGACCCGGTACTGTTTGGGTCAATGCAAACCCGACACGTTTTTAAAAACGGGACATGTTTCCGGACCCGAACCCGACCCGATTTGGATCAGGGTCAACCTGACCCAACACGAATGACCCGAAGTTGACCTAAAATCGATAGTTTTACGGTAAAAAATTATGTCAATATTTGATTTTTGGGTCAAAATCGGGTAAAAAACTGGTCAATCTTGGCTTTCCGAGTCAAATAGGAGTTTTCGTGTCATTTTTGGGTTGCTGGGTCAACCCGAACCCTATCAGATTTTTAAAATGGGTTGATTTGTTGAACCCGAACCCGACCCGTTTCAGGTCCGGGTTGACCCTAACACCGATTTTTTCGAGTCGGAATCGGGTCGTGTTTCAGGTCGCATCAAAAATTGACACCCCTATGTTGCATACACGTTCATATGCATTTTTCGCAAATATGATGTGATCTTAACTATATGATTTTATTGTATATATTTCTTGCATGTATTTTTGACAATTTAAATGACTCTATCATTAATGATGGTATCTATTGTTATTGTACATGATAACATGACTAAAAAGACTGCCTATTGCTATGCGTTGTGGCGCATTATCATCTATTATACATGATGTGCTACATATGTCATACATATTATATGCTAAGAGTTATATGTCATATGTTTGGGCTCTATATTAGTATATGATATTACTTATAGTGTCATATGACATATTATATTTATCTTATAATATGTCACATGTTACTAAAAACTTTCCTAATCATAATTGTAATTTCCATGATCAGAAAAGAATGATTAGGTTGTTGTATGGAGATTTTTATGGTGTTCACGTAATAATTTACAGTGCACTTTGTCGTGCTGTTTGAAATAAAAAGTGTATGCGTATTTCACCCACATATGACTTATTTTATATATCTTATGTCATCTAATTTATACTAAAAAATGCTACATAAATTGTATGTTAAATACGCTGTATATATATATAATATTTTGAATGTCCATATATATTACATACCATGATTACTATATGAGATCAATACACACACACACACACACACACACATATATATATATATATATAGATCAACACACACACACACACACACATATATATATATATGCATAGTTTTAAAATCAATAAAATTTAGTATATTTTTCATATGACCTATTAAATTTAGTGTATGAAATAATGATGGGTGAAAATAACTTTTTATGAAATATTAAATAGAAGTAAATTAAAATGTATTAATTTAATAAATATGAAGATAATTTATCATTCCAAAAGAATAATCATTGTATTTCTTTGCGCCTTTGCATTCTTATAAGATTACCAAAATCAACCACTAAAATTTTCCTTTGTATTTTTAGTTTTAGATTGATCAGTGCCTTACTTTTGAAATATGGGAAATAAAATTTATGAATAAATTGATTAACATAAATTTTCAATATTATTTTTTATGCCAATTTATTGTTTATTGTTATGATATTTATTTATTTATTTTTATAAATTTCTCATGTTTTGAAGTAAATGGCATTAATTAATCCAACTGTAATCAAATTTCGAAGTATTGGAATATTAATTAAATTGTGTAGGACTAATAGCTGCAAAAAATCTTTTTTTTTCTTCGGAATGGTTGAAAAATGTAGCACAATCTTTATTTATTCAACAGTATTATTGAATTTTTCCATCACACGTAGCTGAGTGTAATTAATTAAATTAAATAGAAGTAGCATATATACTACATGCTTAAAAGTACAAGCACGGTTCACTTACAAAATAAAAATTAAAAAAAAAATTAAAATTTAGGTAAAAGGACAGGTTGTTCAATAGTTGGAGGGAAATATTTTTTTTTAATTATCAATTTAAGCCACATATTTTATAATTTCTCATTTATTATTTAAAAGATATGAATAGATGAACTATCAAGTAGTTGGAAGCAAGAGATGGCTTTTTAAAACAATTTTTTAGTACAATTTTTTTTTAACCAAATAAAAAAAAAGTGTCTCAAACAAAGCATAAGATTTGTTTGGAATGGTTTTAGTGCTGCTTTTTAGTATAAAAATATTTTGAAATAAACAAAAAAGTAATGGCTAAAAGCAGTCCCAAATAAAGGAACTTTTATTAGGCCCGGTGAACGTACGTAGAGCTACGTTCGGCCGGCATTGAAATCGCGCCACGTAGCAGGCACAAAACGAGAAATACCGAGCAATACCAACAATAACGAGAAATATCATTATGTGAAGATAAAACACCGAGCAATATCGAGTAATACCAAAAAATACCGTTTTTTTGTAGAAAAACTCAGTATTTTTTGATATTACTCGGTATTGCTCGGTATTTGTCTTCGCATAGCAATATTTCTGGTTATTGTCAAGCAATACCTAGCAATACCGAGCAAATACCGAGCAAAAATCGAGTAACTCAGTGATGACCGTACGTAGAGCTACGTCCGGTCGGAGGACCTAATAAAAGTTCCAAATAAAGTGGACAAATTTCTTACTACTTTATTTTTCAAACCACAATCATAATTTATGTTTGACAATTATTATTTTACTTATTTCAAGACATTTTTATAGTAGGAAGTTGTTTTAAAAGATATAGTAGAAATTTACTTATAATTTCTCATTTATTATTTAAAAGATATGAATAGATGAATTAGCAAGCACTTGGAAGCAAGAGACTACTTTCTAAAATAACTTTTTAGTGTAATTTTTTTTTTCTAATAATAAATTTTGTACCAAAAAATTGCCTTAGAAAACAAAATAAAAATAGTCTCAAAGGAAGCATAAGACTTATTTGGAATAGTTTTCAGGCTGCTTTCTAAAGCTGTTTTTTAGTATAAAAACCTTTTAAAAGCAACAAAAAATCAGTGACTAAAAGCAATCCCAAATAAAGCCTAAGCTTCATTTGAGACAACATCCTTACTACTTTACTTTAGATACCACAATTATAATTTTTGTTTGGCAACTATTTGTTTACTTATTTTAAGATATTTTTATAATAGGAAGTTGCTTTCTACAACAATTTTAAAAAAGTTTTTTTTTCTTTAAATCAATTTTATATCCACCTTTATAAAAAACTACAGGCGTCTCAAACAGAATGTGCAAAGCTAGACAGAGGAGAGAGAGCAAAACTTGCATGTCATGATTGATTCCATTGAAATGAATAACTATCTAGGTTATAAAGTATAAGATAATTCATAGGGACCATCAAACTATCATTCATAAAAAATAGGTCATCACATCAAAGAAGCTCCTTATATTGTTTACTTTGACAACTAATTTTGATAAATCATAATAAAGCTAAATAATTTCAAATAATTTCATTTCATCACTTTTTTTTTTTTTTTTTTTTTTTTCTCCCTTTTTTTTTTTTTTTTTTGTTTCACTTAGTGCTTGATCAAAGCGGTATTTTGAGTGAAATACGATGATGAATCTTGAAATTTATTGAATTATTCCTCTTAAATGTCAAAATGCAGAAGACCTTTCTCTCCTCTTCATATTAATGGTCGATTACTACTTTATGGGATGATATATTTGAATTTTGAATGAAGCCCGTTGGATTTGATCTAGCCTCTTATGGCCTGTGAACCCCACTTGCTTTATATGCGTAACCTAAGTCTTTCATTGGATAAGCTGAGCTCGGCCTTGATTAGTTTAGCTTAATGTGTTTAACCCTCAAATTAGCATAATATTATTGTACTCCTTTGATTCACATAATTGTCTTGATTGGCTAACCATGCTCAAACTCGGAGGACCTACTAAATTCGTCATCCCTCACCTATGCTCATCTTACTCCTACTAAGCCTTACCCTTTCTCACTCTAAATTAAAAGCTTTACTCTTTCCAAAAAAAACAACATCACCCTATCTCTATCTTCTTCTTCCCTCTTATTGATCACCTTGTCCTCCTAGAAAATAATACCCACCCACATTGAACACCAAACAAGTCACCCCTCCCCCCTTAAGCACAATACCTGAGCCCTCCCCCTACACCTCTCCCACCACTTATCTAAACTCCATATCAACCCTAATCCACCAAATTCAAACAATCTTATTCAAGCTTCCTCAAATATTTGCACTTTTATTTCATTCCATATAGGAGTGTTAATTTCTGACATGACCCGAAAACCCGACTCGAACCCGACCTAAAAAATTTATGTTTGGGTCGACCCATAAAGAAACGGGTCGGGTCCGAGTCTTAATTCTGGACCCGTTTTATATTTTGGGTCGCAACCCGGAAATCCGTTCGGGTCGGGTTCAAGTTTGAAATCCTGATCTGTTTAGGTAAACAGATCGGGTTCATGTCAACTCATTTACGCTCGGGTCAACTCGGGTTGGACCCAAACCCGACCCGTTAATCCAAATTGACACCCCTAATTCCGTATGAATTATTCACCATATATGAAAATAGTATGTTACAATCCTTATGATGCCAACTCTCATCATCACATTAGTCATTCTAGATCATAATACTAACAAATCATGAAAAATACAACTAAAATAACTTTGCATGTCATTCCCTCCATTTTTACAATAACCAAATGCAGCCTTCTGGTTAGCATAATATCTATATATAAAAACTCTAACCTGATTTTGAACATCACAGGAATTCTCTCTACATACTCGTAAACAGCAAATTTTTTAAGCTAATAGAATATTTACCATTTAAGCCATGCAGATACTGAAAACAAAATAAACCAATAAGGTAAATAAGGGCTAAACCTTCAGGAAAATTTCACAACTTTCTGAGTCCTACTAAAAAAAACGCAGTCAAATTTACATATAGGGATGCCTTGAATGATTGTCATGGATGCTTTGTAAGATTGAATGAATTGAAGTAATTTGTTCATGAAATTCCCATCTTAGAGGATTGCAACTAGTCAGATATACCTACATGCATGCATTCTTCTATGTATAAAATGATGCGAAAACACCAAAAAAAAACTACTAACTTGATATTTCTTTTCGAGTGTGCTTCTTCAAGTGAATTTTATAAGCTCTATGATGGTTTCCACTGCAATTCAACTTGAATGCGACCGTTCTTAGAATCGATGAGGTGATACTTCTCATTGATTCGCTTGTTTGTCACAACATCTGATAAGCTGATGATCACATAGCCCAGGTTTTCCTGTTTGTCACAAAAGTAGTAGATTACTAAATTTGGACAGTTTTAAAGTAAAGAAGAAGATACCCAAAAAAAAAAAATCAATAAAAGATTATGATCAGAATTTCAACTGGAGCAGAAAGTGTTCATTAACGATTTAAGTTCATTCAGTACTGTTTCAAAGGTAGCTTTATAGGCACAATTTTAGATCGGTCCAGCCGATCCAAGCGGGACCGGCCCAGCGCAACCGAGGCGGAAGATCTCTGCCTCTTTCGGTAGTCGTTCGGTCAGCATGAGCAAAACGAACTTTTTAGGAAGGATTTTAGAGGGTTTTGGGAGGGAAATTTGAATGTAGGTATAGTTTGTTTTCGTAGGATTAGGACATCTTGAATTTGGTTGAGATTTGAGATCTCTTAGAATTAGGTTTTCTTTTGGGCTTTAGCGGCGTCTAGAGATTTGGGAGAGATCGATCCTCCTCTCGAATAGAAGATCAATTGTAGCTTGTTATTTTCCGTTTCCCTTTTATCAAATAATACAAATTATCTACTGTTTTTGTGGTTTCGTGTGGATTTTGGTGGAGAAAGCTTGCTGTTTATCGAAGATTGATATGAAATACTTGAGATCCACAAGTGTTTCCTATCATACACCTTAAACTTGAACCTCAATAAATAGGTCACACATAAAAATAGACTACCTACTCTCTCAACCATGGCTTCTCAGCAATCTATCAGGTGAGTTCTATTTGAAGAAAGAATTCGTAACAGAGAATTTTTTTTGAAATTATACTTATCAAATCGAATGCAATAATGAATAGGAAGCTCCAGTCAAACCACAAGCCTGGCATTGTCTTTGGCGTTTTCTTTAAAAAGTAAGCAGGGAGAGTTGCATTGTTTTCCGGTAACAATAAGTATGGAATTAAGGCTCTGTTTGAGATGATTTTCTTACTGTTGTCTAAAACTATCTTGTAGTACAAATTTTTTTAGTTGAAAAATTTTTTAACTTAAAAACTGCTTTAAAAGCAATAAAAAAGCCGCCCCAAACGAAGTTTAAGATATGATGAATGAAGCCACAAGTTATGCTAAAAGCTAATTCAGGCAAACTGTACAAGTATGTGCATGCAAGATGACAATTTATAACTAGGGTGCCAATATACGAAAAGAATGACATTTTTGGGATAGTACTCGTAAATATTCACAGTAGATAATAGTCAGCAAGAAGATGCAGCATATTTTCTGATCATCGACGAGAATAATGAATTCTAAGGTTACAATTATTATAACCAGAAAAGCCTATTTTCGGCTTGGTATGAAAAGGTCTAATGTGTTCGATACAAATGCATGCTAAAATTAAGAGATAAGTTGACGAATTACTTAGTAATTGATCAACATAAAGCATTAGGCCTTGCTTTTGTACTATCTTTGCTTACACCTAAGAGTATTATTTTATGATTATTTGAATGATTTGTTGGATGTGATGAATGATGTTGCGATATTTTCTATAATTAATTTTAGTTATAATTAGATGATAATAAATGGAAGTGATTAATGGAAAAAAAGTTCCTCTAAAATCAAAGATGATTTATATGACTGGTTAATGATATCATTTGGATAAACCACATTTTGATGCCTTTTATTGACAATTTTTTTGTTTTTTTTTCTTTGATGATATTTATTTTTGGTAAGACATGAGTTGATCAATTGGTGCATCTCAGGAAAATAGTTGAGATTTTACAAGCAGAAAAAGTATATCTGAAGCACGATTAGTTGGGCCTGGAAATGAATTTTTTCTATTGAAGGTGATGAGGTCAAAGTGATTAATAAGAGGTCAAAACCTACACTTTTATATGATATTATAGTTTTCATAATTTGACTACTTATTCTTAAACCCTAACCAAGACTCCTCAATGCTCATACCTCCTTACAAGCATCCCGAACAAATAAATAAACCCGAAGAATTCTTGGGATACTGTTAGTTCGCACATCGTGATGCTATACAATTAGGGAAAGATTCCCAAGGAATACCGATGTGTAAATCTGAATGTCATCTGTATATGATCAATAAGGGTCATGCCAATTGAGATGCGCTCATCTCAGCTGCTATGATGTGGTATGCACTGGGAGAAGCAGGATAGAACAAAAAGGCAAACAAAGAACCAGAAAGCTTCTTCTATATTGATATTCAAAAACTAGCTTCTTCCCCCAAGTCGAAGGAAGATAAAGGGTCTGCTATCATGAGGCGGGTAGTCCCCATGCTGAAAATGGCTAATACAAGTAAAAAGTTAGCCTGCACTATATTTACCTAAAGAAGCACTAGACGAAGTGGCAAACATTCTAAACCATCAACTAAAGAAGTGTAAATAGAAATAAACTATGTATAGTAACTATTAAACTATGTATAATACTATGATGCACCGCATCATTCTCCCCCACTGTCTGAAAAGCATGAGTCCGTGGAAGAAATGATGGTAGGAGCTTGGTCGGGAGGGTGGTATGTGGAGAGATCTGCAACATTGAAAGTAGACGACATGTTAAACTCTGCCCACATGCATCTCCTTGATCAGTTGCGGCCTCCAAGATGAATCAGGGATGCACAATTGATTGTGCTTGAACAGATAACCACGCCGTATGGTGAAATCCAAAGAAGAGACGTTATCTTGACAGTCCTTCCATATGGTGGTGATGTCAGCATCACCAACATAAAGTTGTTTTAGGCACTCGAGCCTGGTAAGCTCCGTTTGGAGTTGTGTGAGGAGAGCCAATTTCGGATGAAAACAGCGCCGGCTAAGGGCATTAGCAATGAAATTCTGAGTGCCAGTTTTATGTTTCAAAACAAATGAGAATCTATACAGGTATAACAACCATTGGGCATGTATTCTGTTTATGTGTTTCTAGCTTTTGATGAATTGCAACGCCTTGTGGTCGCTGCATAACACGAATTCTTGATTTAACAAATAATGCTTCCACTATTTCAACGCCCTGACGACGGCATACAATTCTTGCTCGTAAATAGTCCATTTTTGTCTCGCGGGGCTCAATTTTTCACTAAAGAAATCGATCGGCCTATTTTCTTGGCTTAAGACAGCGCCAATTCCTATGGTTGATGCATCTGTGTCAACATGAAAAGGTCTCTCAAAGTTCGGGAGAGCCAAAATCGGTGCCATGGTTAACGCCAACTTGATGGATTCAAAGCTGCGTTGTTGCTCCTCCATCCATTAAAATTATTTGAACTTTAAATAGTTTGTGATGGGTGCCATAAGTATGCTAAAACCTCGGATGAATCGGCAATAGAAGTTGGCGAGGTCGTGAAAACTTCGCACTTAGAAGAAGGATTTTGGGACTGGCCAACCGGTAATGACATCTATTTTTTTTGGATATGTTCTAACACTTTCCACAGAAAGTATGAATCCAAGGAAGTAGACACCCGGTACGGCAAATCCACATTTAGAGAGATTTAGATAAAGTTGATTTTGCCTTAAGACCTCCAAAATGCTGGATAGATGGGCAAGGTGATCAGTTAGAGATTCGCTATACACGAGAATATTGACAAAATAGGCAACACAACACTTGTTAAGAATTGGCTTGAGGATTTCCGTCATCAATCTCATGAACGTCGACGGTGCGTTGCACAACCCAAAGGGCATCACCTTCCATTCATAAAAACCATAACGCGTCTTCAAGATCGTCTTCCACTTGTCGTCAGGCCGGATTCTTATCTGGTGATACCCACTGCGAAGATCCAGCTTTGAGAATATGGTGGCACTTGTTAGCTTCTCCAATAATTCATCAATTCTGAGAACAAGAAAATGGAACTTTATAGTGATCCTGTTAATGCTGCGACTGTCCACACACATGCGCCAACTCTCGTCTTTTTTGGGTTCAAGCAGTGCCGGAACGACACATGGACTAATGCTAGGTTGAATGAGCTTGTTTTTTAACAATTCCTCCACAAGTTGCTGCAATATCTGATGTTCTTTTGAACTTAATCGGTAGTGTGCCAAGTTAGGCAGAATAGCCCCCACGTGGAAGTCAATTTGGTGCTGTAATGTTCGCGCGCAATGGCGGGAGTATAGGTGGCAGGTATTCGGTTAGCACATCTTGGAATCGTTCCAAGAGCTCCTTGACGTCAGTATTTGAGCTCGGTGGCTGCTCCCTTGTGGCTTGCTCCTGGACAATTAGTGCAAATATAACAGAATGTTGTTTCCAAGAGGATATAAGAGTGTTACCCGTGACCAAGTGCATAGCTGTCTTGGCCTCAAGATCCTTGGTTTGGTTGTCAGGTCCCTGTGGAATCAACCTCAATCGCTTTCCCTTCCAATCAAATGAATAAGTGTTGGCTCTCCCGTCATAAGCCGCACCGACGTCAAATTGCCAAGGCCGACCCAAAATCAGGTAACACACATCCATGTCCAGCACGTCTCAAAGTACTTCGCAAGTATAATGTTTGCCAATGGATAACACAATGCGGCACATGTCGGACACCACAATGTCCATTTCCTTCTTCACCCAACTTATTTTGTACGGCTGCGGGTGCTTGGTTGTTTTGAGATGGAGAGCATGTACAACCGCACGAGATGATGAGACACTATATTTTTGGTGATCTCGCTATCAATAAGCAGGTCACACACCTTGCCATTAATTGTGCACCGGGTCCAAAAAATGGCATGGCGCTGAGAGCTGCTTGGCTTCCACGGTGCTAACAATAGCTTTTCCATGACACAAACAAGTGGTTCGCTCTTGTCGCCTTCAACTTCCTCAATATCTGTCTGATGATCCTCGCCTTGGTTGCCACTTTCTTCCTCTTCTTCCTTATCCAACAATTGCAACTGTTGTTGGTTGGGGAACACATTAGACTTATGTCCCACTTGAAAACATCGAAAGCACTTAATAACTTGGGGTCGGGCATAAGGATTCTCCTGAGTTGGCGTAACAGTTTTGGGCTGAAATCTCGGCTCCGCGCTTGGCCTAACAGGACTCCCTGACGGACTAACCTCAAGATGTGCCATGATTTTCTTAGCAGTTGGAACGAATGAACGATTGGCCTGGTGGCATTAGCGCTTTGTTCGTGGAATTGCCTTCTGGGAGGATGGCTGCGGGAGTGTATGTCTAACTACATCTTCGCCTTAAGTGCGAAGTTAACCGCCTCCAATAATGACCATACCAAATTGAGCGCTAGCTTGTCTCGAATGGCATCTTTCAGTCCACCAACATATCTAGCGACCAGCTGGCTGGTCGATTCATTAAAGTCATTCCTAGCACCTAGCCTATAGAACTCCTCGGTATACTCGCTCACAGAGCGACCACCTTGCGAACACTGTTGATACTTCAAATAAAGCAATTGTTCATAATCTGTAGGAAAGAAATGCACCTGCAACAATTGCTTCATGCGTGCCCAGCTGTGCACGTCACCCCGACCTTCCCTCCTCCGGGCTTGAATTAGATGCGAACACCACGCACTTGCGCCGCTTTTTAGTCGAAAAATGACATATTTGACTTGCTTCCCGGGCTCAATCTCCATATACTCAAAGAAATTTTTCACGGCTCTCTCTCAATCTAAATAGTCTTCAATATGTAATTGTCCTTAAAAGAAGGGTATATCGAGCTTCACTCGAAACTCACCGCGGTGTCGATCATGACCCATTGGACGATAGGGCGGTGCCGCAATATCTCTGTCAGATTCGTGAAAAGGCTCCGGGATGTAATTCCCACCATCGTCTTCGAAGTTTGATAGCTCTTGGAAGATTGGTGCTCGCACTCGATCACGAAAACCACGAGCCTTGTGCCGATTTGGTGGTGTCCTCATCAGTTTAGGGATGTTTTCTCCAGTTGGAGCTCCCGCTCCATATCCTCGTCGGAGCTCCATCGCCAGGCGCTCAAAATTTGTAGCCATCTCATCCAGCCGCTTCACAACGTCAGCATGTGCTACCTAGAGGTCCTCTAGGATGCGATCCTCGTCGCTCGTCATATGCTTGCTACTCTCTGCCATCTCTCCAAGCCGTAGGCTCTGATACTAGCTCTGATGTGGTATGCAATAGGAGAAGCAAGATAGAACAAAAAGGAAAACAGAGAACCAGAAAGCTTCTTCTATATTGATATTCAAAAACTAGCTTCTTCCCCCAAGCCGAAGGAAGATAAAGGGTCTGCTATCATGAGGCGGGTAGTCCCCATGCTGAAAATGGCTAATACATGTAAAGATTTAGCCTGTACTATATTTACCTAAAGAAGCACTAGAAGAAGTGGCAAACGTTCGATAGCAGCAACTAAAGAAGTGTAAATAGAAATAAACTATGTATAATAACTATTAAACTATGTATAGTAACTATGATGCACCGCATCATGCTCGATTTCAATTTGATCATCAAGGGAATATTTAGAGTATATCTTTCCTATACATTGAGTCAAATATAGCGGAATTCATTTAACTCGATTACACAGATAGATCAAAGCATTTAGAAGCAATAACTAATCTTAGTTAAGTTCTGAACAGTATACAAATATGAAGGGCACAACAATTGCAATAGTTTATACACAGCAATTAAATCAATTCCGTAACCGACCACTATTTAGTTCACATGCCAAATCAACATAATGACAACCTATCTACTTAAGGAAGCTCAATAATAAAAGAAAAAAAAGTTAAACTATAGCAATGTTAACAAGGCAGAGATGCCTATTTCAAATAAAAGGACCAAGTTTTCTTATGCAGTATTGCTCAGATGAATTACAGTAGATACCTTGGAGTATATGCCGATGCTTGGCGGCCTGCTACGAACCTCTAAATGCATCTTATCACTAACAGGAGGTTCCTCACAAACAAACTGAAACTCTTCTTCCCAACGTGGATCTCTGCTTTTTTTTATATGCTGCAACGGAAAGCATATCATTCATCTGATAGTCAGCCATAATGCCAGGAAAAAAAAAATGTACCTTTGTTTTTTTCTCTTCACCCCTAAAAGTTATTCGTACGTAAGGATTAGTGTGGTGTTTCCCTTCGAGGTCTTGAGCTTCATGAATTGTAACAACGAGCAAGCCACCACCAGATGGAGTGCCTTCTGGAGCCTTTTCTACTTCTTTAGAATTTTCGCTAACTTCTGGGAAATCATCTTCCTTAAATGGCTTATAAGTTACTTCCGTAACTAACTGTCCTCGTAACTTATCGTTTTGAGCATCATTACGATCCAGATTCTTTAGCAACTCAAGTGTCAACAATGTTGGCTCATCAGGAATAAGATCTTTAAGATGAATAATATTCATTCCCATTTTTTCATGCCTGCCAACCTGTTACAATATGAATGTTCAATAGCACGTTGAATTTGATAAACAGAAGTTATAATAGGCAAAGAAAATTGAGCAAAATGCCTGTTCCCAGTCATAAACATCAAGCACCAAGGCTTGAGATTCTGGATCTGTAACAACTAACTTGAATTCTTCGTTCCATTCTGGATTAAGGTTACTCTTCTTTACAGTAGTTTTCTTTGATGGAAGGCTGTCATCCATAAGCTTAAGTTTCACATACGGATCTGCTTTGCCCATTAGATCTTTCTTTCGCAGCTTTTGAGCTCTTAAAACATTTACATGCAGAATTCCAACTGGCTTCTTCATGGCTCTACAAGAAACAATATAAAGATTAAATAATGGATTTGTTAAAAGAAGAAAACTTGTTTTAGTCTGAAAGAGCTGGAAAATAAATAAATGTCACTACTTTGCTGCATCCATAACAACCACTTCCAGTGTTCTAGGCCATAGATACATGCTCGCAACTTGATTCTTGATTGTATCCTGGAAAAGCGAAAAAAAAGTAAATAAAAACATCATACCGAGTGCATGAGATAATTAGGATAGGATAGTCTTCACAGCTAATAGCACACTCTACTCAGTAAATTATCACAAAGTACATTTTGAAGCATTCTGATCACATGTGGTGGCACCTCTTTCCAGAATATGTAATCAATATATCTTATTGTTTAGCCTAAGATCGAAAAAAAATAGTCTGAGAAGGTTCATCCTCCCAATTCTATGCAGAATGACTTCTCTAATACTGTCACGGGAATGATTCAAAAAGTTTTCAACACTGACAATCAGACTGTAACTCAAATCCAATTTTCTGGGACTGTAAGATACTGTGACCTGCTGCTGGAATACACATTACCATCAAACTGAAACATAATTTTATTTAATTAAACTTCAAATCAGGTAACCAAGCTAGTTGATCAATTGTCTAATTATGTATTAGACTCAAATCATTAAAGATGCAATACTATCCAATATAACGGTAAAGGAAATAGATTAGATAAATACCTGAACAAATCTGTAAAGACCAGGAATTGACATAACATCTGCTCCCAAAAGTTTCAGCCCAAAGTCAACATGTGGCTACAAAACCCAATGCCAAAGATAGTTAAGAAAGCTTGAAGATAAGCAAAAACAAAAGAATTAATAATCAAAAGTAAATATAATCCATTATCAAACTCACCTTATCCATCAGTGAAACAAATATCTTTGCAAAACACGGAAAGGAAGGGACCAAAGGTTTTAGAGTGATTCGGGGTGCTAGAAAAACTTGAAGATCTACCGCCTGCAAACTCAAATTGGTTGGAAAATCAACAAGGTTTATTTTTTACTGTGAAGACCATATTAGTACAGCTATTCTATTAAACTTGTAAATATTGTCAAGTTGGCAACCTGTATTGTAGCTTTTAAACCGAAGGCTTTAACTGCAACAGTTATATTAGGATTTCCAGCCCATTTAATAGATAGTTCCATAATCAATTCTTTCTCCTCGGTTATATAGACTTTGATTCCTGACAGTGAACAAAAAAAAAAATTATGAGTTGCAAGCAAGAGTAATCAGCTGATACAGGAATATTCATTTTTTGTTTTCAAGTGAACTTATCAAAAAGTCTTTATGATGGGATATTTATTCATTTGAAGATGTGTGTAGCATAATTATATGCATTTTACCAAAATGGATAATCATTCAGTTATATTATGAAACATAAATGCATTTCATAAATATGGCAAAGAAAAGCAAGTATGCCATCCTTCCTCTTTGAAGAATATACTAAGGTGGTGATCACTCATACAGAGTCACAGGCATGCTAGGTCATCAACAACAAACTTTGCAAACTCATCAATAAATTACATTGTTAGCTAGTTAATATAAAATTTTAACACCTACAAAACAAAACCAAAATGCAGATTTGGTCAACCCAAAAAAAAAGCTACACTGGTATATGTTTGAAAAAAATTACTTGATGTGGAGCTCAAGTTTTACAATCAGCGTCAGAAATGTAATTCATTGTGTTGCATCAGTTCCTTTTATCTGGTGTTACTGATGCAGTTACAGAAGCCTGTCTATGCTACCATGACTTCAATAGCATTCTTCTGTTTTCCCATACCACTTAGGGTATCTTTAACAGAAAAATCTATTTTCCATTTCAAAATACAGTAACATTCATATCAAACAATAAATCAACTCCAACCAAACTTCATTTTTAACACAAAAAAAAAGAATATTTTGTGTATATTCTTTCACAACAAATCTTTTACAACAGAGAAACAGAGCAAGCAAGAGAAAATGGGTTTCTGAACAGTGCGATATCAATATTGTCGTCGCATTATTCACAATCGAGATAAAATGGAAAAATGTGTTTCCATATGACATTCGGTTGGTTGCTTGACGGAGCTGCAAACGAGCGAATGACAAGTTCGGTTGGAGATGCCCTTTGCTGCTACATATACATCTTAATGTCTATTCCTATTTTCTGCTTTTTTAGTAATTATTCTCTGCTCCAAACTTCATTTTTAACACAAAAAAAGAATATTTTGTGTATATTCTTTCACAACAAATCTTTTACCGCAGAGAAACAGAGCAAGCAAGAGAAAATGGGTTTCTGAACAGTGTGATATCAATATTGTCGTCGCATTATTCCCAATCGAGATAAAATGGAAAAATGTGTTTCCATATGACATTCGGTTGGTTGCTTGACGGAGCTGCAAACGAGCGAATGACGTTCGGTTGGAGATGCCCTTAGCTGCTACATATACATCTTAATGTCTATTCCTATTTTCTTCTTTTTTAGTAATTATTCTCTGCTTCGTTTTATTCTCAGCATCAGAATTGCTGCTTTGCATCTCCTGCGATGGCCGAGAATGATTACACCTTTTAGCTTTACTGTTTTGCTGTCTTAGAATGAGTACTAGTGATATATAATGCCAGAAAACTGTAAGAGAGGAACCAAATGTACAATTGAGTTTTTCCTGGTTCGTTGTTCACTCTCCGTTGCGCTTCTAGGCCAAAATTGGTATATCAGCAAAGGAGTGGTATTTGTAAAAGATGTAGCGTGTCATTGCTAATTTCGTGAAAAGGTGCCGCGTTAGTGGAAATTCTGGAATTCATTGGACCAACGTCCACATCGAGTAACTCGTGGGCTCTTATTAAATCAACGGTAACATGATTATCCATTCACCAAAACATTTTTTTCTCATTAATTATATACTAATTTATTATTTAGTTTTAAGATTAGTTATTAATTATGTAGCATTTATAAATTATATATTTTTCTACAGATTATATTAGAGTAAGAAATAAATTTTTTTTTGCCTCTTATTTTTTAATGTCATCAAGAGTTCTATCGCTATCAGGATTTTAATCTCTTATTTCGCTCGCCATAAGGATTTCTAAATCGTTATACATAAACTTACCTGAGCTTGCAATCCTTCACGCAAGATAGACCTCTCATTTGCAAGTGCTCGCCTCAAAGTCGTTGGCTTCGTCACCGGTATTCGAAAGCTGTTTCGCCAACCGCATCACTGGCGAACTCACAGACTAACTCATCGTTTCCACCAGTTGCAATCTTTGGTCATCTGCATCTCGCCCGTTGCGTCGCCTTTGTAGTTGCGAGCTCACTTCGACTCCCAAAACGCGTCGGGGGCTAGCCTCGCCTCAATCTCGACCTCACGAGTCTACTTCTGGTTTGCAATCTTAAAAAATAAACTGAACTCTCTTCCCTCTCTTCATCGTGAAGATGCCTTAACACGAAATATCATCCCAGAAAAGCTTCTCCTCTGCAGCCTCAATCTCTTAATCGCCATGGTCAATGAAAGCTTCTCAAATCTATCATTTCTTAGCACAAACTAAAAAGGTAAAATTATCTCCAATGAGCCGAACCAGTTATGATGTTCATAAGTGAAAAAAATAAAGACAGATCTTTCGTGCAAACAGGGGAAAACAAACCAGAATCAAGTACAAACAATCACAAAACACATTGATTTACGGGTTTGACGAAGATGTCTCCATACAAGGGAGGGATCATATTTCACTAATTTGGAAAAAAAAAGGGATTACAATAGCTCTCTCTCTTACTCTCAAATAGCAGCTTATATGCCCTTCAAATAGATTTGAGATAAAACAAAATAGAAAAAACTTTAAAATCTAATCCCTAATCAAATTAGCCTAATTAGGAAAAAATCAGCTCCTTAATTAATTACAATAACGAGCTACTAAAGCTTTTCAAATAAAAGTTTATTTCAATTTGAAAAATAATTCCAAATCAATAATCTCTACCTCATCTTTCACTTCAAAATGTGAAAGATGACAAATAAGGCTTCAATATTAGAACGATTGCATCTAGAAGGTTGCCTACGTACCCCCTCAAAAGGGGTCAAGTCCAGCATAATTCTTCAAAATGTGAACAATCAGTCATGAGCTTTAATGTTCACCAAACTCCTATAGTAGGTGAACTTCTGAACTTGTACCTTTATGAGCATGTTTACTAGATTCTCTTTGGTATCTATCTTCTTCAATTGAACATTGCCTTCAGCAATCAAGTCTTGAATAAAAATGGAACATCACATCAATGTGCTAGGTACGAGCGTGAAAGAATGGATGTATGGCCAAACATATAACACTATGACTATCACATAACACCGTCAGAGACTTCTGGTCAACTTCTAAATCATCAAGTAGGCCCTGCATCCATATTGCCTCCTTCATTACCTTTGTGACTGTCATGTACTTAGCAACAGTAGACTAAAGTCCTGTTAACTGACTGGACCTCCTGCCAATGTGAATAAGTACCCAATCGTAGACCTACACCTATCAATGTCACCGATGTAGTCTAAATCAGTGCAGTATACACATAAATAAAAAACAAATGACTGCCTCTCGAATACCAAGCCTACATCAATTGTACCTTAGATACCTCAGGATACTTTTCACAATCTGCCAATGACTCCTTCCTAGATCATGTATAAACTTGCATACAACACCAACTGCTTGTGATATATCTGGCCTAATATAAACCATGATGTACATCAGATTGTCAATTGCACTAGCATAAGAAACCAATCACATATCTTTTCTCTCTTGATTATCCTTAAGAATTGATATGAACTCAACTGGAAGTGAGATGCAAGGTGTAGACTCACCGCCTTGCTCGAGTCATCAATCACAAACTTTTTCAGTACCTTTCGAACATAAGCTCCTTGTGAGAGCCAAACCTTTCTAGCCATTTTATCCATCAGAATCTCCATGCCAAGAATTTTACATGCTTCACCCAACTCCATCTCAAAATATTTTGATAGTTGCTTCTTTATCCTATAAATATCAGTCTAGTTGATAGATACAATCAACATATCATCAACATATAGAAGCAACTAGATGAACTCACCATTGATTAATTTCTTGAAATATGCATGATGATCATACTAGCTTTTTGTGTGCTCCTCTCTTATCATGAAATGATCAAGCTTCTTGTACCACTACCGTTGTAACGGCTTTAACCCAAATAAAACCTTGTCCAATCTGCAAATTAAGTCTTTTGAGGCTCCATATCTAAGTGAATGTAGCATATAGATCTCCTCCTGCAATTTTTCATGTAAGAATGCAATCTTCACATCAAGCTGTTCCAAAATCAAACCATAGTGAGCTACAAGTGCTAAGAGAACATGGGTTGAGGGATGCTATACCACTGGGGAGAATACCTCATCATAATCAATCCCTTCTCATTATACAAAGCCTTTTTCCACCAACCTATCCTTGTACCTCACATCAACTCTATGAGATAATTCATTCTTTGCATACACCCATTTACACTCAATAGCATTTCTTCCTTGAGAAAGCTTCACTAACCTCCAAGTAACATTCTTCTGAAGAGATTTCATCTCTTCATCCATAGTCTTCTTCCAAAAATCACCATTAGGATTGTCAACTGCTTCCTTGTAGTGACTAGGAATTTGATACGCCTTAGGTTTCACAAATTAGGGTTTGCCCTAATTTTCCTTCAAGGATGAAGTTTCTCCACCAAATCAAAGTTAACTCAAAACAAGAAGAATGAGAGGAAGAACAAAAGAGCCTTGCATTAATCTTCAAGACAAAACAAAAGACAAAGCTAGTCCACTTCGAGAAGGACCAAATCTCCCAAAAGAAACCCTAGAGAAAACAAGAAGGAAAAGAGAAAGAACTTTCTTCACATGATGCCCCTAAATAAACCCTAATGGCTCATTTCATACAATCTCACAACTTCCCCCTCATCCCTAAATTACCCCCCATCATCCACCCTCCATTTTCCCCCCAAAACTTGGCCTCCCCCCTTGATGCCCAAGAGTTTAAGTAAGTGGGCCCACCGTGACCCTCTCCCTTTTCTCCCCAAGTTCGCCCCCCCCC